CCTGCTGCTGGCCAGCTAGATGGCCGACTCATCAGTCTCCGGCTCTGTCCGTGTATATTCCGATATATAAATCAGGCTGCTTGCTTTTCCTTGACTTTTCTTGAGGTTGTTTGCTTCCGAAAGCACCGGACATTAATCAGGCGCCGACGACCTCGGTCAATGGGAAATGTTGTTCATTTGATGGCAGCTTGTTGCAGCTTCAATTTATATCAGAGTTCATTTATTTTCCACAATGTGGCTTTATATTTGGTGCGCTTGAAAGGTAGAAGGAATGGGGGAAATAAATAATATTATTAATTTAAAAATTAGAAACGCCAAGAGAAGAAACTCCTAATGTTTTATTGTAGAAAACTTTAAGTTAATGTAAAAAATACCTAGAATTAAGGGCACTTTCTTCTCTCTCATTGAAAACTGTCAAACAAATAAATTAATTTCAAGTTTGAACAGAAAAACAAAAGAATTATAAAGTTGTTTCTGCGATTTGACAGCGCAAAACTAAAGAAAAACTTTATGAGTGCCTTCCTTGCCGACTGTCCCTGAATCAATAATCATTATGGAAAAGTTCTCCCTTTGGATCCTTTTCACTGGACCGTGTCCCTTTCAATGCAGCTGCCTAATTAGATCGGTTTGCAGCTCGCGGGAAGTGGCCAACAGTGCAAAGAGGACAGGCCCGGGCTTTCGAAGGAGTGGCCAAGGCGAAGCCGAAAGACTGCAATGAAGCTTTAAGAGGGAAATTCGAGCAGTTTTCCGGGCATAAAAATTACGGGGGCAACGTGAGCGTTTTTACGACGAACTGCTGACATAGATTCCGCTCAAATATTTCGCACTACTTTTCATTTTACGATGGCACGCAATGAAAAGTGAAATGCTGAAAGCCTTTTCTTCCTCTTCCGCGCCTTCCTCTTTTTAGCGCGTTCGCCTTTTGTTTACTTAATATTTTGCGCCGCCCTGTTCTTTTTTTCTTCTCCAGTTTTCCCGAGTTTTTCCGGGCCTTTCCCGATTCTGTTGCTGCAGCGAAAATAAAAGCGGAGCAGCGCAAACAATGCGCCGAGTGATTGCCGTGAAACATGCTGCGATTTTTAGCCCCCGACACGCCCATCAGCTGCCAGCTCCGCCCCATCCATCAAGCCATCAGGCCAGCCAGCCATCCATCCATCCATTTATCCAACCATCCATCCATTTATCCATGACTGCAGTCGTTTTCCACACTTTTGTTTGCATGCTTAAATAAATGCAGGCGAATATTTATGTTTTATTTGAAGAGCTGAGCAAATCCATGAATAAACTGGATGAAAGTCAAAGGGAAAATAACCGCAAGAGCCCTTAAAAATTGATTTCCAGAGTTGCAGTCACAAATTTGCAAAGGGTTAAGTGTCCTGGCCAAGAGTGGCCTTTAACAAATTATCTAATCGAAGTTTTTTTTTGGCCATCCTCCCCAGCAAAGTGCTTTCGCAGTGGGCAGGATTTTCAAAACTGACAGCTGGCTCAGCTGCATTAAGTGCTGAAACTGTCAGGCCAAGTCCTGGGGAAGGACCTCCCCCAACAAATTTTTGCTCTGGCACGGCAGAGATAGCATGGTGAAAAAAATTCACAAAATGTTAAACAAACTAGAATTTCAATTCGGAATAAATGGAAGTTAAACCAGGACATTTTTGGTAGCGGATACCTTTGTCATAGGTCACCTTAAATAGCATTTTCAGTTAAATGTTTTAATCAGTCAAGACTTAAAATACTTAAGAATTCTCTCGACTATTTCCATACTTTATACTATTATTTTTCGAGTGCCTAGAGGGCCAGAAAACCAAACTGCCGATGCTGCGTTCTAGTTTAATGGCCATACAATTGACGTAGAAGCTGACACATTCCCTCAACTGAGCTGAAATAAACCAAACTGAGCTCGGCTGAGTTGGGCGGTGGAAATGCCACAGCATTAGTGGCTCTATATCCCGTTGCCGCTCTCCAGGGAGTCCCCCCAGCATTTTCGCATCAAATTGCAGTCGGGGAAAAGTGCATTTTATGACAGGCAACGAGAGAGCCTGAGCCGAAAGCCTCTGGGAAAATGGTGAATGGTAAGCGACAGCCACAGTTTTAGCGTCTTTGGAAAACACTCACACACACATATCAGGAAAGTTTTGAATTAGTAATTCCAAACACCAAAAACAGAGGCACACACACAACAGCCACCACATATCCAAACACAAACACGCAGGGCCCAGGGAATCCTCCTGTACTTTTACTAATTTGTACCTTAAGGTGATTGCGTTGTGTAAACTGTAAACTGTAACTTTAACTTTAGCCAGTAAGAGCGAGTAACCTCGCCCCGAATTATGTAAATACAAAAAAATATATATAGAAAAAGGAAACACAACCTCGAATATCTGTCTAAAGTAACCAAAGAATCGGCAGAAGAACCGGAAACTAGCAAGTTCTTTAGTTGTAAGCAAAATATCCAAAGAAATACACTGTATGTAAGGCTCTTTTTGTACCTCTGCTCTCCCACTTTCGAATTTACCGACCGCGGAACCCTAAAAAAATGAACTAAAGCGCTCAGTGAAACTTGAACGTATTTGGTTTAGCCCTAAGTAAGTGAAATCGCAAGAAAGCTAAATAAACTAAATAAAATTAAACTAATTAACTTAACAGAGGTCACAGCCCCGCATGTAGCCAGGTAAGCCACAATTATGCTGAAAGCATTTAATAGTCTAAAACAGGAAGTACATACATAATCCGCATAGAGCATATAGCAAATTAAATTGTAAATTATTGAATCTCAAGCGAAACTGTAGTGGAAATTAATAGTTCATTGTTGCTGTCTAGCGTGTGTAATGGGGCAATTGGAGGAACCAAGCAATGGGCACACTAGCTGATCATCTCGCTCTCTTTCTCTCTTATGGGAGTGTAATCTACCAGAGAGACCAACTCTCTATTGAAAGCAGCGTGATCTGCCAGAGTAATCATTCCTTATTCCTTGAAACTGCACCCTTACAACTAGCGTATAAATAACTATGGCTAAAACAAATATCAGAAACTAACTAACTAGTTAAATGTGTGTGCGTTGTCATTGCAAATATGTAGCAAAGAGGTCCCCCTATTAAAATTAAAAGAAATAAGAACATGAAAATAAATTGCAAACGTAGTACGTAAGTGTTTTGTGTGCATGTCTGTATCTGTACCATATATATTTATGTCTTAATCCGAAGGAATCGCATCTGTATCCCTAAGTTGACACCATCTCCTGCCTTTCCCCCCGTCTGCGTACTCTTTCACTGTTCTGTATAAATCGACAAATCTCTCAACTAAGTTTACTCAAACGGAAACTACTAAAGCAAAGTGAGAAATACTTAAATAAATACTGAAAGCATATTGATAAGCAGAAACATTCTCCTGTGTTTGGCTTTCGCTTAATTGCATTTTCAGCCAGAGATTTCGATTCCGCACGAAATCTGATTCAATTATCTCCGAAAAGTGCACAGGTAAGTGTTAGCTTTTTTTCACAAATTTAATTTCCCCCAAAAATATATAAAATTCGACATGTCACTGCCGAGGAAAGTGGGCGCGGCAAATAGTCCCTGACCGTGTGAGGAATTCAGAGTTTATTAAAAAAAAACGTGTGCCGGAATTCAATTCGAAGCCAAACACAAACACGAAATGCGCCGAACCGCAAATGAATATATGTCTGCTTGCTTTTTCCGCTTGCATTTCTCCCAAGGATGCACAGAAAACAGGAGCAGACAGCGAAAAGAGAGCTCACACAATGTGGAAGGACGTCAGGGTAGTCATGAGGTTTTATTAAATTTTAATTGGATCTTTGAACTTTAAAAGGTTTCTAAATGAAACCAATATATTGGAGAAATATATAAAAACAATTTAAAAAGTCTTAGAAGGGTTTAAAAATGAAGAGTTAATTGAATAATAATTAAATTACTTAAATAAATATGCACTCCCATAATTTTTATCCACTTTCAGCTTTTAAATTAAGGTCCACCCAATGTAAACCCAGAAACCCACACATTCCCGACTGATTCTCCTTGGAGTGAAGTTTTAATTTCCGCTCTGTGGTTACCAATCCAAAGTCAGGGGCCCAGGCAGGGGAATCCCTCTGCTGCGAGTCCTGCGAGTCCTGCTATTATCGCACATTGTTGGTGTAATATGCAATATTATGTCAGACAGCGGATGTAATTTAACTTGATGCTGTTAAAAAAGCTGTTGCCCCAACAATGGAATCCGCCTGAAATCAGGACTAAGCTCGGCGCAGCAGGAGCGAAATGAAGTTCGAAAATCGAATAAATATTCAATTATTTACTTGAGACTTGGGACACAATGGCGGGGACACAATTCGCAGGGAGAAGAAGTCAATATTAAAATTTTCTTCGGCTACACATTTCCCGCAGCCATTCACATATATGATTATGGAGCATCTGTGCAGAGGGCAAATAAAATAAAATAAAAAATAGATGAACTTACTCTCCTTTATGCGTACAGACTGACACATACACACATGGGCCCGTCAAATTTTCAGCAAACATCTCAAGGAGAGGACATTAAAATGAGCAAAATGTGTAATAAAAATCCAACCTGATCCCGGGACCCAAATATTTGCTTATCTACAAAAGCCAGCAGGGAAAAATACCCCGAATTGAAGTCACATTTTAATCAAGCAAAGTAAAAAAAGTACAAAAAAAGCATTCCAAGAAGGCCATTATTTAAGCCAGGCCAATGCCTTTAAAGCTGTTTTGGCCAACAAATACAAGCGCTGGACGAGGAAAATCGATATGTGATGTGAGACGAAGCCAGGCTGGATGCAGTTTAAAATACAAACTAGAAGGGGATTCGAAGAACCCTAGAGGGGTGCTTAATGACAGGTCAATCATTATTAAATGAGTCAAAAGTATAAATATTTTATATAGAAATTTTTAGTTTATTTTACTTCAATTTGTATTTACTAATTGTAATTTTTCTTAAATAATTTGACTTAAGAATATGTTTTAAATATAATTCTCTAACAGGAAAGCTCTTCCTCAAGATACTTTGTCTGAATTTTCATGTAATATTTATTTGGTTTAAATGTTTAAGAATATTGCCTTAAATTACTCATGCTGCCTGTTATCTGGAAACAGGACTCGATTGGATAACATAATCCTTCTGTTTTCTGGCATCGATCTCCAGAGCCTCGCGACAAGGGTCACAAGCGTTTGGATGAGTCTTTGACTTGCCAATAACAAATACTATGTCCTGCGGGCTAATGTTCTTATCTAAATTTCGGCAGGTTTCGCCAGCCCTGCAACCAAAAGGAAATTAGGTACCATACTTTAATGGTAACCCCTACTCACCTGGCATAATCGCCACACTTGATGAACAACTTGCATAAAAACTCCAGCTTGCCCTTTGGCTTGCCATCCAATTCCAGGTTACAGGTGCGCGTATAGGAGAACTCTTTCATGTCCAGGTTAATGCTATTTGTCAGTTTCTTGGGCAAACGCGTTTTACCCACACCCACCAACTCGCTGTCGTAGGTCACCTCAAAGCCCAGACCGTTCTCCATGATGTTGTCCACCAGATCCTTGGGCTCCTTTTGGAAGGTCAGATTGGCAGAGGAATTGAAGACATCGATGCTTGTCTTACTGGCCGTTAGGGAGAAAGTGTTACCCCCAAAGGTGACCGACACCACCAGCTTCAGGGGATCGGTCAGCGGCACGCCAGTCACATCCAGATGCGTCATCACAAGATCGAAGGAAAAAACAGGCAGATTTCTATCGAAAACTGGCTCTTTCGGGACAGCTAAAGCAGGCTGCTCGAGCACGGCCTTGGTGAGCCTTGCCTTAGCTTTTTTACCCTTTCCTTTACCTTTCTTGGGCATCTTGCAGGTTGGAGTTTGGCGTCTGCGGGGTGGTATTTGAAAGTAAAACCGCTTCCTTTCAGGCTACATAACAGCTGTACAATTTACAATGTAAAACCAAACAAATAAAACAATAATTTGATTGTTAAATGAAGGGATTCTATGATCAGACAATTATTAATCTACCCAAGACTGGAGCCTTAATAAATACCTTAACGTTTGCAATGGAAACCTGCAATCAAACACGATTTAACACTTTGTCCGCCAGAGAGCAATTTTGGTTCTGGGTTGCGGAATTCGTAGATTTATTGGCAAACGAAATACCGCACTTCTGCCCCCGGGAGCTGCAGCTCCCCTCTCTCCTCCTGGTGAGTGATTCGCCAGCATATTTCAGAAGCATTTAATGGGAGCACTCATTTGTCTGCCAGCAGAAACAGAAACAGCAGTGGTTCTCCTTGCTCCACGCTCCTTGCTCCCAGTGTCAGTGGTTTCGATGCAGCCACAAGGAGCATCATCCGGAGGAGGTGTACGCTGTGGCGTATACGTAACGTGCGAAAACCAAGAGTGCTCGCCGAAGCTTCTACTGCTTCCTTTTCCCTCCAACCAATTACTTGTGGGCTGGGCAGCAGAGAGCAGACGGAATTAGTTTTGCCAGCAGAAGAAGAAGCATATTTTGTGTTTTATTGTTTATCCAAAAGGATTTATTAAGGTCCTGCTTATGGTTGGCATACACACACAGCTAAGGTCAAAATAATAGAGCTGAAAATAACTTGGGATAGGGTCTTGGAAATTATATAGAGATCTTCAGCTAAACTGCACGGAATGCTGCACCCTGACAGGTTGATTGCTCTGCACGAGAGCAGATTTATGATTTATTTTAAACCAGTTCTTATAATTCGTGTTTCATTTAATGTTTATGTTCTTCTGCTCTAGTCCTTGTATTTCCTCCCCAGCTGTGTACATCCAAAGGCTTACACCCTAATTGGTGGCCTTTTCGGCTTAGGTCTAATGCAAAGTGGCTCTGGCATTTATTTTGCGGCCAGACATTAATTTGGCAAGCAATTAAATTGCAGCTAGACGAGCATTTCGTTCACAAGTACACAAATATGCAAATAAATGTGGTCTCCTCCGTAGTCGTCTGTTCCATTCAGCAAATAAATTATGCAATCGAAGGCAAAGGCACCAATTCGGCCAATGGCAATTGCTAGCAAAATTGTTTTACAATTGCTTTGCTCGACAAAATGGCCAACTAATTAACAAGTCATTAATGCCACGTTTTCGGCCATAGGAATTTTAGCCAATTTCTAGCCACAATTGAAAATGTTTGCTACGGCACGGCGGTCTAATGTTCACACGTTTCGAGGGGGCACCAAAATATTTTCACAAGCTCTGACCAACACTTTTGTAGCAAAATGTGGAATTTAGAGACACTAGACAGGTAAATAAATACTCTACAGTTTTCTTTACTTTTCTATTTATTTATCATTACAGCTGTTGGACCTCAAGGAATGTGACACCTTTAGACAGCAAGTTTTAAAGGAATTTCCTTGAAAATCTATCTTAATCTCTTACCATATTAGTGTATACAAATTAAGTGCTGCTGTGTGCATTCTTTAAGCCCAAAAAGTCCCAATACTGAACCCACTCTTGTCGGTTAGAGCAAATTGGGATATATACAGCCACCATTTTTGTATAATTTATACACGAGTGGTTTCCACTTGCCCAGCAGAAACTCGCCTGCGCCTGGGACCCGGGCATCCAATTTGTTATTGTTTGGCTATTGGCGTGGACAGCGAGGACCTGACCAATGAACCCACCCACTCCCACTCTCACTGAGCTTTTGGCTGCACCAATTTGTATCCAATTAAATCGGCTTAGTTAGTCAGGGAACGCTGGCTGCAAACGTTTTCATTTTTACTGTGGAAATAGTTCTGGGATTCGGGGATATGTATGCGTCAACCTAATGCGCGAAATTTAATTAAAATTGAACTTAATTTAGATAAGCATGTGAGCTGATTTGATAAATTGCCCGAGGAGGGTGTCGTGTGAGTTTTCCTCGCTTTCCTTGGGAACATTGCGTGCTAAGCCGCTTACGGAAGGTGTAGCGATAAATAAGAGCGCGATTTTCCACGGGAATTTCAGCAGCAACAGGCGCAGGGGGAGTGTAACAGGGAGTGGCCGGGGTAATTAGAAATCCATTTTGCTGGGCCGCAGTCCTCTGGGACGGGAATCCATTTCGCAGGTCACAGGAGTTCAAAGTTCAACCAAACAGCTCACAAAAGGAACTTAATCACCGCGGGGACTTAGGAATCAGTTCTTTTGGGAGGTTTTTAAGAGATTTTCATGCTCCGTATTCTCAAACTATAGCCTTGTCTTTACTGTTACCTGATTCGTATTCCATCTCCGGTCAGGTTGTGTCGATGCTCAGTGTGTTTTCAACCATCACACAAAACACATTTCCAATTTTACATGAAACATTTATATGCTGTGAAAAATTTTGATAGTTTTCTTTCAAGACTTCCAAGATGGAGTCCAAGGAACTAGACTTTCTGTTCAATGTGGTAATCACCCACGCCAAGCTGTTCAAAGATGTCCAGGAGCCGGATAAGATCGATGCGGTGGTCAAGTTCGCCCGCAAATCGATGACTATCCCAAACAATGTCATCAATGCCAGCGACTTTGATGTCAATTGTCAGTTTCCCTTCTCGCTTAGTCCTAACGACCTACGTGAAGACCTGGCCAACAAAGGAGTCGTGGTGTCGCTGCGCTACAACAAGTCGTCACTGGGCACCGCAGATGTTTTTTTACCAGACACATTTCTAGACAAGATTGGACCCACCATGAATGACCTTTTTCACGAGGAAACCCTTCCCCTAATGCGCCAAAAGAATATCATCGGCAACTTGAGCGTCCTGTTTGTGCTGACGATCAAGTGTGGGGAGAAGGAACTGGATCAGCTGGAGCGAAAGTCAAGCAGAAGGTCCACCAGGAAGTCTGGAACCAGTATCAAAAGTGAGGCTGATGTCCTTCAGCTCGCCGAACAGAAAAAGATTGAGGAGAAGGAAGAGTGCTTCGGAATGGGGCCCACCATCAATCCTCAGGATGTGCTCTTTGTCATGGGCGATCCCGATCCGCTCCTACAGATCCCCTCCGAGCCTTGCTCCGAACTCCCCACGGAGGAGGGTGATGAGCGCCTCAGGCTGGATCTACAGCGCTACCCAAGTCTTAATCGTCGCGTCATCTTTCCGGACGACGACCCCAAGCAGAAGCCCTCTCTCAGCCAGCTGAAGAAGCTCACAGAGAAGTACGCTAGGATCATAGATTCAGTGACCGAGAAGTTGAAGCGAGTCACAAAAGAATCACCTTTCAAGAAGGAAACGACCACTCCCAGGACACCCCCGGAGGTCGGCGTTGAGCACTTTATCCCAGTGCCTATCGAATCTGAGGAGGAGTACGGCGTAAAGCCCATTCGCTTTTGTCCCGTCTGCTTGTATCCGATGTCGTGGCTGCCAAGGTACACCCCTTGCCCCAGTTGCAACACCAGACCGCGGCCCGTGCAGAAGGCAGAGAAGCAAATGACTGCCAACGAGATTGTGGCCGAGCAGCTGGTCAGGCCGAAGGCTCCCCGCGTAGTCGAGGAGTTTTGCAAGACTCCCTGCGAAGACAAGTGTCAGCCTATGGTGAACTTTGACTCGGACACAGAGTGCCCGCCGGGCCGCTGCACATGCAAGGACGGCAACTTTTGCACCCACTGTCGCATCCGCAAGTTGTGTCAGGACATCTTTGACGAGGACGAGGTGAAGAAGCAGGCTCAGAAACTTGGACGCTACCCCCAGCCGCGCTCCACTGAAGACTTTGCCTTGATTCCAGACCCCGAAGACGATGACCGTCCCTACCTTGCGAGGGTCTTCTCCGAGATGAAAAACTTGTATGCCCAGCACGACTCCAGAAAGATCGATGCCATTCGTAAGCGCTGCCAGTTCGAGACACTAAGATCTGCACCTAGTGGCCACGACAAGGAACCTTGTAACCGCCAGAGGGCTGGACATAAGCAATGCCTGCCGGCAGAGCCCTTGGTGCCACGCCGCCATGGCTGGGATTGGCCCCGAAGTCCCCAGGCCAGAAAGTATGGCTGGCGACCGGGCTGCATCATGCGGGCGGCCGTGCAAGTGATGCGTTACTTCCTCACTTCCAAGGATGAACGCACTTCATGCTGCCAGACCCTAGTCGAACACGAGCAGCTTCAGCGGCAAAACACACCGGTCCTAAACATTTGGAAACGCGATGGAGAGATCTTTGTAACCCTGCGACCGCTGGGAAGTCTAGGAAAAAAGCAGAAGCCCATCACCTTTAGGATCGTAAAGAGCCACCTGGCGGTGGCCCTGCGCCAGATCAAGCGCGCTCTCAAGGATCAGGGCTTCGAGAAGTGCGCCTGCCACAAGTCTCTCATGCTGTGTACCTGTCGCGACGCCCTGGAGAAGTTTGAGCTGAACAAGGCCCTCCGGAGGGAGTGCCAACGTCGCCTCATCGAGCCATGCCCGGAGCACCTGGTGCTCACCGACACCAGTGTCAGCGACTTGGAGTTCAATCTGGATGTCCATCCGCCGTCTAGAAGATGCAGATCTCAGATAAAGGCCATTCAAAACAGCGTGAACTACGGCACCCAGACATCCAAAAAGGATGTGATGCCTCCGCCGAAAAAGTATCCCACGCAGATGTCACCCTATTACCGGGGATTTGATTGCGCTCTCGGGGATCGCTACATGGGCACTGCACTCGGCTGGCCGGGCGAGCAGGTCTTCGAGGACGGCGTCTTCGGGCTGGCGGGCGGCGGACCCCACGGCCCTAAACCTATGCCCTGTGGTCGAGCCTCGGGTAGGGGAGCAGCAGATGGAGCAGGTGAAGGACCATATGCTGCATTTGGAGGAGTAGGTGGAGGAGGAGGAATGCTCGCTGGACGCAAAGGTAAACGAGGAGCCTGTGGTGGCGGTCCTGGAGGTGCTATGGGCGGAGCCTGGAAGGGCTTCCCTGTCAAGGAAGGCCGCGTTGGCTACAGTGAACCGATCCCGGTGCGATATCCCAAGAGGTTCCTCAAGCCCGCCCAGGACGCAGCCAAGGCGGCCAAGCAGGCGGAAATTGACGCTTTGGAGAAGAAAAAGAAGGGCATCGATATGGTCAAATACCTGCAGCAAAAGGGCACCCTGCGACGGCCATGGAATCCTATAGATGGCAAGGATACTCGGCCGATACTCACCAAGCGTACCAAGAAAGAAAGTTTTTCACTGTGATCCGTAAAATTTATAAATTGTATACATTCTTGAATGAAACGTAATGTAAACTTACCATTTAACCAAAGACAAAACAATTAAACCTAGAAAATTATTTAGACTAAAAAATATAGTAAAATGTTCATTTTATTTATTCATTTTACTTAAACTTTTTGACAAGAGCGCCGCAGGCCATCGTCTCTGGAGACCCACTATCCCTGAGTACCTTTGATAAGTTTCGGGGAGATGTTGCTCTTCTCCACCACTTTGGGAGTGGCCTGGACGGCAGCCAGGGCGAGGAGCAGGAAGGCACACAGAGCGAAGATCTTCATGATGGGAATTTGCGATGCAATCTGACTGCTGGAGATCCCCTTTTATACCAGAAACCGCAACCAGTTTCACAGGTTAAGAATGTTCTACTTAATTATTGACTCGTTTTGATTAGGAACAATATTAATATTAGGAAACCTGTCACTGGTAATTAAAATCAACTGTATTTCTTATTTATGGAAAACTGGTTGTTTTGTGACGAAATATGAATATGACGTTGTACAAGATATGTGATTATTTTGGATTTTAGTTAAAATATGTTATCTTGCTTTAAGCGTGAGTTAATTTAAACTTTTGTCAACAATACAGCTTAAAGATTGCAAAAAGTATTGATATATTGTTATATAGTCTTTATATAAATACATAAATCAATTTATTAACGTATTGAAATGTGTGGAATAAACCTATATTTCTTGTAATAAATGGGACCAATTACCAATTACATTTTTCAATATTTAATAAATTCACTTCACCATTTTTTTTCAATAAACATCGGATTTAGATAAATGGGATAGGATAGGATAAAATATTTTAGGAGAGGATACATATCACCCAGGCTGATCTGCACTTGCCTTGACCCAAGTGTCATTTATATAAACGACATTAACTTCACATACACACACCTTCTGTTCTCGCGTTAACATCTTAATTACTTTAATTTTACAGCTGTTGCAGCTTTCAGATTTTTAATTACTCCTTACAATTCGAACTTCCAAATAATACCAATCATCACCAGCTCAGAAATGAACACTGACGTTTCCTTTCTGTTTGATGCGGTCGTGACCAATTTGGAGGTCTTCGGCGTGGTATTCACGGAGCCGCTACAGGTTGCAGTTAAACTAAAGGTCATGGGAACGAACTTAAAACTGACCTCCAGCCGGGTGAACGTTAGCGATTTTGCGGCAAATCGGGAATTGGAGTTCCTTTCGGATCCTCAGAAGGTACGCGACAACCTGGAGGAACTGGGCTTGGAGCTGGCGGCGTCCTATCAGGGCTCAACTCTGGGCCTCGCCTCTGTGACCTTTCCGCCGGAGTTTTTGGAGAAAATTAGCCCCACCATGAGCGACCTGCTGCACGAGGACAGCGTGAATCTAGAGCGGCGCGGCGATGTCGTGGGTTCAATAAGCATCCTCATCCGGCTAACCCTTAAGTGCGAGGAAATCCCACCGAAATCGGGCAGCCAAGTCTCACTGAGTAAGAAAAGTCACGTTAGCTGCTCCGGCCAAGGTCCCACCATCAATCCGCATGACGTGATGTTCCTCATCGGTGATCCCGACCCTCTGCTGCAAATTCCTTCGGATCCCTGCTCCGAGCTCGCCACGGAGGAGGGCGACGAACGCCTGCGCCTGGATCTGCAACGCTATAGAGGTGTCAATCGTCGCGTTGTCTTCCCAAAGGATGACCCCTGTCCCCAGCAGAAGCCCTCCTTTAGTCGCCTGAAAAACATGACCGATAAATACTCCCAGATCATAGATTCGGTTGCAAGAAAGGTGAAGTACATGGAACGTCTAACATGCGCTGTGGCCACCTCAGAGCCGACGGTCACTGCCAGAACTCCCATGAATGAGCGCTTTATCCCAGTGCCGCTCGGATCGGAGCCTGAGGATCTGCCCGGGGTAAAGCCCATTCGCTACTGCCCCGTCTGCCTGTACTCGATGTCCTGGCTGCCCAAGTACACGCCCTGTCCCCGCTGCAACACAAAGGCGCGTCCCATGCTCCCTCCACAAAAACAGCTGACGGCGATGCAGATCGTGGCCGAGCAGCTAGTGAGACAGCAAGGAGTCGAGGATCTCTGCTCGGGTCCCTGTCGGCTGATCCAAAATGCAGGCAGCGAGGGGGACGAGTGCCCGCCCTGTCAATGCACCTGCTCCGGGGGCAAAGTCTGCGCTCACTGTCGCGTCCGCAGGATGTGCGAGGACATCTACCACCAGAGCGCCCCGGAGCCTGAGCAGCGCATGCGCCTGTCTAGGCCCGGCACCCAGGAGGACTATTGCGTGATCCAAGACTCGCAGGACGACCACCTTCCCTACCTATCGAGGGTCTTTCACGAGATGAAGCACTTATACCAGCTGCACGACTCAAAGAAGCTCGAGGCACTGCAGCTGCGCTGCCAGTCACAGACGCTGCTGCCCAGACGCTCGATCAAGGAGCTGACCGAGGCGCTGTACCAGGGAAGCAGGACCGGGTCCCAGACCCAGACTATGCAGGACCATCGCCAAAGGGCTGGCCACAAGCGTTGCGTACCCTCTGAGAGCGGCGTTTCCCGCCGGCATGGCTGGAACTGGAAAACCTCAGCCGAGGCCCGTACCAAGGGCTGGCGACCTGGAGCCATCCTGCGTGCCTCCGGCCACGTAATGCGCTACTTCCTGATGAACCATGAGCGAAACCTTTACCAAAAGATACTATCCGATGAAGACCATCGCCAGAGAATGGCTAAACCTGTGCTCAGTATCTCCAAGCGGAACGGCGAGATCTTTGTCACCTTGCGTCCGCTGGCCAGCATGGGCAAGAGACAGAAGCCCATTACCTTCAGGATCGTAAAGAGCCACCTGGCAGTGGCCCTCCGCAAAATCAAGCGCGCTCTCAAGGATCAGGGCTTCGAGAAGTGCTCCTGCCACAAGTCCCTCATGATGTGTACCTGTCGGGACGCCCTGGAGAAGTTTGAGCTCAACAAGGCCCTCCGGAGGGAGTGCCAACGTCGCCTCATCGAGCCATGCCCGGAGCACCTGGTGCTCACCGACACCAGTGTCAGCGACTTGGAGTTCGATCTTGATGTCCATCCGCCGTCTAGAAGATGCCGGTCCCAGATACAGGCCATCCGAAACAGCGTGAACCACGGCACCCAGACATCCAAGAAGGACATGTCGCCGCTGCCGCCCAAGTATCGCATGCAAAAGTCACCTTATCACCGGGCATTCGATTGCGCTCTCGGAGATCGCTACATGGGAACTGCATTCGGCTGGCCGGGCGAGCAGGTCTTCGAGGACGGCGTCTTCGGGGTGGCGGGCGGCGGACCCCGCGGCCCTAATCCTATGCCCTGTGGCAAATCCCGGCCGGTCAATCTCTGGGGTGGGGAAGTAAAAGGTGAAGGACCATATGCTGCATTTGGAGGAGTAGGTGGAGGGGGAAGAGTTCTCGTTGGTTACCGACGTAGACGAGGAGCTCGTGGTGACGGTCTTAGAGGTCCTCTAGGCGAAGCCTGGAAGGGCTTCCCTGTAAAGGGACACCGCGTTGGCAACAGTGAACCGATCCCGGTACGGTATCCCAAGAGAGTCCTAAAGGCCGCCCAGGAAGCAGCCAAGGCGGCCAAACAGGCAGAAATTGACGCAGTGGAGAAGAAAAAGAAGGGCATCGATATGGTCAAATACCTGCAGCAGAAGGGCACCCTGCGACGGCCATGGAATCCTAACGAGGGCAAGGACTCTCGGCCGATGCCCGCCAAGCGTACCAAGAAAGACTCAGGCTGTATAACCCTGTGAATTGTGAAATTTAAAAACTGTATACATTTAAAAGAAATGTATAATAAACTCACCATCCATCTGGCCCAAAAAGTTAAGATAGATGTAGAAGATCGGCAGCAATTATCCGCAAAGTGAGTCAATGTGAGTCAAATCAGAGCAATAAATATATTTATCAGTTTCTGTGTTTGTTTATTTTCATAATTTTGTTTAGCCAACAGAACAACTCGTTTTGAGTAAACAATAACACAGTTGTTTAAGCCTCAAGATCAACAGGTGGCAGGTTTTATAATAATAATACTGTTTCACATTAAACACAAGCGGAATATAAATTAAACTTTTTTTGAATTAATAACCAAAACAAAAAAATTAGGTAATACAGATGATAGAACTGGTCTTCTGTTGGATTCCCCAGGGTGTTCCCCAGATAATGCAGTAAAAAGGTTCCATCATGAAGATCTTCGCTCTGTGCGCCTTCTTTCTATTCGTCCAGGCGACTCCCAAAGTTGCCGAGAAGAGTGGCCTCACTGCCAAATCCCTTGGCAAGGCGGCAGGAAAGGACTCTGGAAGCGGCCTTTGAAATAAAAAAGTTTTACTGACAAAAAGGATTTAAATAAATCTATGTTTTAAACAACACAAAATCGGAATACTATTTTAAAATATATTTTTATCGTATATATTAAGGAAAATAACTAGGTATTTCCTATAAAAGTTAGGGGGATAGAATAATTAAATTGTTATACCTTTGCGAGGTACTAAAATTTTAATCAGAAACTTGTAAAGCAATGAAGGAGTCATTTCCGACCCTATAAATCGTATATATTCTTGATCAGCATCAACAGTAGAGTCTTTCTAGCCATGTTGGAAAAAAAAAAATTTTTGTAAATTTTTTAAAAATTTTATAAGGGGTTACATTGTTAAAAATTTCAAAAATTTGAAAAAATTTTAATCTTTTTAAATTCAATATTTAGTATGCAGATTTATTAACATTTTAAAAACTAATACAGAAAAACTTTCCGAATTAAATTTAATGCATTTTCGGCTTAGTTATGATTGATTTTCGATGCCATGATTCTATAGCAAAATGCATATTTCGGCTTCCCGAAGTTGATTCCCTTCTTTTTTTTAGATGCACATTTTACTAGATGATATTTTACTAGATATTTAAGGACTACAAGAAGAAACAGCCAGTGCCTAAAATCAAACTAATAAAAATATATTTAAGAAGGGACAAACGTTTTCCAAAAATAAATATTAACGTTTTTTAAAATAATTTCTTAATAATTATTCTTAAAAGTTATGATTTAGCTTCATATATCTTCCAAGACCACTAAAATATTATTTAATTTTAAGCCCCAAAGTAGGCTTCCACAATATTAATCGATGGTTTGTTATTGTCATTAGCCAACCGGTCCTAATCAATAAACAACAATACATCTGCTTGCACAAAAAAACTGCAATAACATCGAAAGTTACTGGCATTTAAAAATAAGTAAATTAACCGATTTATCGATATTAGAGCCATAACTCAGATATTATATTTCCAGCTGGTGGAGAAAGCCAGTGAATAAGTATAAAAGAGCTTGCCCAGTTCTCAGAATGCATCAACAACACTCACGATGAAGTTCTTTGCTATTGCTGCCTTCCTCCTCATCGCCGCTCTGGCCACCGTCCAGGCAACTCCTGGCTACCAACAACCGGCTCAGCACGGTGGCCACCAGCAACAACATGGAGGCCACCAGCAACAACATGGTGGCCACGGGGCATCAACTCCTGTGAGAGGAGGCCATGGATCAGTGGGACACAACGGTCCTTCAAGCCACAATACTCCAAGCCATCACGGGCACCATTAATCTTTTTCTTGGAAAGCCAGCCGGCGATCTTGGAAAGAAGTTAAAGTGGATAAAAGCATTCAATAAAAAATTTCGTTTATTCGAAAACATATTGTCTTTTCTTTTGTAGTTAATTTATTTTAGATATTTTTCAAAATCTAAATGCTGAGTTTATTATTACCAAGAAAGGAATCCAATTTTGGCAAGGACAAGTCAGTTTACTCTTGGAGCTTGCAATTGAATCTATTTAATTAAACCTTTCTGAAGGGTTTTAAATAATTAAAAATAAATAAACGAATCTTTTCACTGATTTTGTTAGTTTCTATGGCAGCTATATGAAATAGCCATTAATAAATTAAAATAATAACAATTAATTATGTGACTATGCCTTCCGATCTGACCCTTATGGACTAAGAAGAATTTGGGTATTCGAAATTAGTTCACTTTTTTATTTTATGGAGTTAATTCTATTTTAATTGGATGTTTATTTGAGTTAAAATTGATCACATATTCAAAGACCATAAAAATAACACAGAATATAATTATTTCATAGATATAGACGGAGAAAGCAAGATTACAATTCTGTCTAAAATACTTTCCCATTTCCTTTGGAAGCTTTAAAATTATATATAAGTGCTATCTAGGTAAAAAAACTAACCCTTATTAGAATATATCTCAGAAAGTTGGAAGAAAATCATGACTATAGATAAATCAAAGACTATAATGTTCTCCATGGGTATAAAAATATTGTTCAATCTCATGATAAAAGTAACAAACTGTATTAAAACTTTCCTATTTATTTTAACTAAGCTCCAAAGTAGGCTTCTATATTATAGATCGGTTATTATAAATAGTCGTTAAGCTATCTATATTGAAAAGTCAGCATTAATACAGTTGTTTACACAAAGAACAACTACAAAAACATTTCAAGTGACCAAAAAACAACTGTTAAAATTAGATCGAGTTACCACCAGATTTCCTTTATCACAAGCCACAAGAATCACCAATTAGAAATTATAAATCCAGCTGGTGGAGAAAGCCAGCGAGTAAGTATAAAAGAGGTTGGTTGGCTCTCAAAATCCATCTGAATTAGCCACGATGAAGTTCTTTGCTCTTGCTGCCGCCTTTCTCCTATTTGTCGTCCTGACCTCAATCAAGAGCACTTCTCCCTACACAATAGAGGATACGCCTCTTGTGACTGACGTTCCGAAAGACAGTGAATCTACGACTATTGATTATAAAAAAATCACCTATGAATACGCTCTCCGTTTACTCGATCCGAATCTGTCAACCGAAGAGGTTTTAAGCATGTAAAAGTGAAAGAATAATAAACAATAAAAATTCCGTTTCTTTAATATCATATTCCGTCTTTTGTAATTAAATAGGCTTAAGAGTTCAATTTAAAATTAATAAATTTCATCGAAGTTATTGAAAATGTTAAAAAATTAAATAATATTAGGAGGCTCTCATGGGTTTCTCCCAGCAGAGTTTTTTTCACAGCCTTCTTGAGACAGACTCCTTCAAGGATGAAAGGTAAGGTAAGAATAGATCCCGAAGGAATCCCCATCTAACTACCTAAGCTCTCAAAATCAAGGGCTTTATGTCAGAGACACTTTCTGGCATTTTATATTCAGCTTTGGTCTTAGTTGGTCTTGCTTTTACGTTCCGTATGTGGCTTTCGCTTTGCCAGTTTTATTGTAAAGTTTAGAGTAGTACAGTCCTTTCAAGAACAGGATTCCCCATTTAAAAAAAAAATTATAAGTAAAAAAATTAATTATATAAAAACACACTGACTCTGGTTTCGTGAGGCCACGATAGACAGAGCCAAAAGCCGATCCTCTCCCCGAAATGGGTCCCAAGAAGGAGTCTGTGAGCAAGGAGCCTGTGGCCACAGAGGAGCCACCACCGCGGGTCGAAAAGCCCAAGAAAGTTGCCCCGCCGATCTTTGTCTTCGACGTTGTGGTCACCCATGTGGAGTCCCCAAATGCCGAGTTCACAAAGCCTGAAAAGCTGGAGATCATTGCCACTTTCGGCAAGATCCCAATGGACCTGGCTCCTGATCAGGTCAACGTAAGCGACTTCAAGCCAAACACCAGCCTCACCTTCCAGAAGGAACCCAACGATATGAGAAAGCTGGTGAAAGATTGTGGCGTCTCCTTTGCGGTAACCTATGCCAAGAAGATTATTGGTGCTGCCCAGGCCTCCTTTCCGCTCAGCATCGTAGATGCCATTGATCGGGACATGGCTGACATTGTCCACACGGACACCGTTATGTTGGAGCGCGGCGGAGAGGCGACCGGCAAAGTGGAGTTCCTTTGCCGACTGGTTTGCATGTGTGCTCCCGAGTAAGTTGATTAAACTTTCTTCCTTGAGAGGTGGATCTTCCGTATCAGCATTATATTAATTCTGCGCTTTTTCAGAGAGGGCGAGTCCGAGTGCCAGCGGTTGATGGACCGAAGCATCAATCCGCAGGACATAATGTTCGTTCTGGGCGAATCCCAGGTATGTCCCAGTGCCTGCGCGCCGTGTGCCAACGAATTGGAGGATGAGGAAGGCGACGAGCGCCTCCGGCTGGATCTGGAACGCTACCGCAGTCAGGGTGGCGGTATCAAGCCCTACAAGATGACGACGGACAATCCATCTATGGTGCCTGCCTGCTGTGAACTAAAGGTGGGTTCGTATAGCCTTCAGTTTCGGTTTAGTCTTTCAGGCTTTCTTGTATTTCCTCCAGAAAATGGCCATCGAGTACGAGCAGATGATCGACGCCATAACCAAGTCCACTGGCAAGGCACCGCCACCCGAGCCGCCGTGTCGCGATCCCGATGAAGTGGCCGCCATGGGTATGAATCCCTGCTTCTGCCAGAAGCCGGATCCACCGATGCTAATCGATCTGCCGGCGCCGCCGAACAAGCCCTGCTTCGTTTACCTCCCCGCCTATCAGGAGGATGAAGAGATGCCGGACTTTTGTGACCGTAACCTCATCCCGGTGCCGATTGCCGACTGCGACGGCCAGCCGATGCCGGACATCAAGCCCATACGCTTCTGTCCCGTCTGCCTGACCAACATGTCCTGGCTGCCCAAGTTCGCTTCCTGTCCCAAGTGCGGCGTCAAGCCCATGCCCGTGGTGGAGGAGCGGCACAAGGAGAAGAAGCTGTCCGCCGACCAGATCCTGCTCGAGTTTCTGGGCCAGCCGCCGCCCCCTGTGGAGGACTATTGTGAAAATCCCTGCGACAAGGCCATGCAGGCCAAATCGGATGCTGCCGCCAATGAAGAGTGTCCGCCCTGCCGTTGCACTTGCAGGCACGGCAAGATGTGCGCCCACTGTCGCATCCGGAAGTCCTGCGCCGACATCTTCAAGTCGGACAGATATTTACCGCCCAAGTGCCCCAAGGTGCAGCCAAAGGATTCGGAGGATTTCTGTGTGGTGAACAAGAGCTCCGACGACTGCCGCCCCTACCTGGCTAAGGTCTTCTCCGAGCTGCGCGACCTCTACGACATCAAGGATACCAAAAAGATGTCCGATCTCGACGAGAACTGTGAACGGATGGCGCCGAAGCCAACGGCAACGCCGGCTGGAACAGTGCAGACCAAGGGCCAGGCAAAGGAGCAGGCAACCACAGCCAAATCATTGCACATTCCGCCCAACAACAAGGGCCAGATCTCCGGCAGGCACAGAAAGTGCGTCGGCCAGGCGGGCTTCGTGTCGCGCAACCATGGCTGGGCCTGGAGCAAGAGCTGGGAGGCCAAGAAACTGGGCTGGCGTCCGGGCGCCATCCGCAAGCCCATCAAGAACCTGATGAAGTTCTTCCTGGAGCGATCTCAGGACAAGAATGATCTGATCAAGGAAGCCGAAGCTTTGGAGCGCGAGAAAGAGCTGGCCGCCCCGGTCTTGAAAATCTGCAAGAAGGACGGCGCCATCTACATCACGCTGCGTCCACTGAGTCCGCTGGGCGTCCGCCAGAAGCCCATCACCTTCCGGATCGTGAAGAGTGACCTGGCGGTGGCGCTGCGCGAGATCAAGCGGAAGCTCAAGGACAAGGGCTATCGCAAGTGCACCTGCCACCAGACCCTGATGATGTGCACCTGTCGCGACGCCCTCGAGAAGAGGCACCTGCAGCGGGCCCTGGACAAGGAGTGCCAGCGTCACTTCATCGCGCCCGCAGCCGAACATCTGATTCTAACCGACACCAGCGAGAGCGACATGGAGTACGACTTTGATGTCACTCCGCCGGCGGGCACTGAACAAAAGTACCCGCCTCCCATTCCTCCACCGACCGTAAACCACGGCACCCAGACGTCCAAGAAGGACATGATGCCCCCACCGAAAAAGTATCCCATACAGATATCACCCTATTACCGGGGATTCGATTGCGCTCTCGGGGATCGCTACATGGGCACCGCGTTCGGCTGGCCGGGCGAGCTCGTCTTCGAGGACGGCGTCTTCGGACTGGCGGGCGGCGGACCCCACGGCCCTAATCCTATGCCCTGCGGCCGACCACGGCCCGGCACTGCCTGGGGTGGAGGATCAGCAGGAGGAGCAGCAGGTGGAGGACCATATGCTGCATTTGGAGGAGTAGGCGGAGGGGGAGGAATGCTCGCTGGACGCGGACGTAGGCAAGGAGTCGGTGGAATGGGAGGTGGCGGTGGTCCCGGCGGATTTGGAGGACCCGGCGGACTAGGAGGTCCTGGAGGCGGAGCCTGGAAGGGCTTCCCTGGCGTCAAGGGTGCTAAAGGTGGTTTTGGTGGTTTTGGTGGTGTAGGTGGAAAGGGAGGCCCAGGTGGCGGCGGCCCAAGTGGACCGATCCCGGTGCGCTATCCCAAGAGATTCCTTAAGCCCGCCCAGGACGCAGCCAAGGCGGCCAAACAGGCGGAAAAAGACGCTATAGAGAAGAAAAAGAAGGGCATCGATATGGTCAAGTACCTGCAGAAGAAGGGTACCCTGCGGCGGCCATGGAATGCTAACGAGGGCAAGGATAAACGCCCGCGACCACCTAAGCGTACCGACATAGGACCAGATGGTCACACGGACTTCTCGCGACATCGCCAGATGCTCATGGCAGGGCCGCCGCCGCTGCTCTCCCAGATTCCCAGAAGAGGCAAAGGCTGCCCTCCCGACTCTGCCTTCCGCATGGATATTGTTGGTTAGGGGTACCCTTAAAGGTGCTATCCCGGTGGATACTTTGCTCTTCGATGTCCCTGTCAATTCTTATGTAAATTCAGACGACAAATAGCTTTGGTCAAATATATATATTTTATCTTAAAGCCACATTTTTTATATACAAAATCTTTCCAATCACTTATGTCACCTTAAAAGAACATAAGCCAAGAATGATAAATCCCAATCTTATGTGCACTTTACGCCTTGCAATCTGTTGCCATAATTGAATTTTCGTCCAAGCAAAGTTAATGTATCTAAAAGATACCCGCACCTTTTAATGGGACGAAAATCCAAATGGTATTATCAAATGTTATGTTATGTTCTGCTAGATTCTATCTCCAGCTTTGCTCTCTTGTATATTATGCATGAAATATGGCAATTTCAATTAGTTTTTAGTGCCGCCGCCCCACAGACAGACAGAGGATTATATTCTGTAAGCCCCCAACAGCTTGTTTGCGTTATTATAACAGCATTTCGGATTTCAGATTTCAGATTGCCAATGGAATGGCAACTCCACTTCGTATTCCCCCTTCCCGCAACGACATCGGTGCAGATAGCTTCAGTCGAGATTGAAAATGTTGTCTGAGCGCAGTTAATTAAATGGCAGGCACGCACAGGGATCTCTCTCTGCCAGAGGGGACTGAGGGGGCAATAGTACTTCATAACGGTTTAGATAGCGACAGAAACCCACACACGCACTCTGAATAATAGTAAATTAATGGCGAATGTTAATATATGCAAAATACCTAAGCTGATTAGCAAAGGCAACGGCCACATCGCAGCAACTGGGTGGGAATTGGCCAACTTAAATTAAGGCTGATAAGTGGCCAAGACTTACTAGCTAAGCTAGTAACTAGTAAAATATTTGGAATATAGATTAATGTTTAAGTAAAATATTAATCTTAAATGTGTGTTTATTAATAAAAAATTAATAACGAATATTAGGGCTTGATAATTGTTGAAATATGAGTATCTAGAAGTAGACGTAATTTATTATGCCTTTATTGATTTATTTATTTGATTTATTATGTTTTAATTCTCTCAGTGTCTTCCTCGTTTGCCTCTGCCATCACTAAACTGCATTATGTTGCCACATATCCCTGTGGAAATCTACGTCAGCGGTGGGCTTACCTATTCCAACCCACGGGACTCGAGAGTCTGGACTCAAATTGAGCCAATTTATTAGTCCCTCCGCCAAAGTCCGCCAAAGGTTTCAAATTTACACAAGGAGTACGCGAAAATTTTTAATTATACAAATTAGGCCAATTAACGGGAGGAAAGCAAAACTGCAAAAAAGTTCATTTTCAGCTTGAATTATTTTAGCGCATAAATTAGGCCAGGAAAAGGATATCTCTCTTTACCTTTGTTAAAGGACAAGAACACAATGTTGAAGGGAAATCATAGAGAAAAGGTTTAATAGTCAGAGGAATAATATAAAAAATAAGGATATTACCAGTGATCTTTGATAAGTAAATTAAGGGTTACAATGGTAAAATTAAATAGAAAACGGAGATTTCTAACCTTCATTCAAAAATGAATTTAAAATTGATAAAATTAAATTTCAATCCATTCCATATTTAAATACGTTCATGCTAAGCTTCAACAAATTTATACCTTAAATAGCTCTCTTTAATATTTTCTCTCTAAAAATTAAAAACCCCAACAAAAAATGCTTTAAAATTGCGGCCTCAAACAATATAAAACCGACTAATAAAGCCTGATAAATCACGCGACAAATTTCTGATATGTAACAACGGTGTCCGTTGCGGTAATATTTGATAGGACACTTAGCTGGCAAGGGGACCGCATTTATTTTTAGCCTTCAAATATTTCAAAATTGTGGCACTTTCGCTGAAAAAATATGCCAACGATTTTGCGACACTCGAGGAAGGGATGCTGGGGATGCGGAGATCATTTAAATACCCACAATTATGCTGGCGGTATGGAGAACGTTCCCTCCTCCTCCCTGCATAATTCATTGGACATTGCGGGGTCGATATTTTAAGGGCGAACCCTTGTTAAATATTTTATTTAATGGGATTTTTAATTTGACGCTTTAAAGTCAACATGGCCAGGTAGAGAGAGAGAACGGGAGGGAGAGAGTGAGAAAGCGGCAAAGGTAAATGCGTTTTGGCACTCCATAAATCAAACAAGTTGAGTTGGTTCTCAAGGGGCCTTTACAGCACCGCTGATACCCTGGGAAAAAAGGAAACAAAAAATATAAGCAAATATTTATTCAGGCTGGTGCTGACCGAAGTATAAAATTCTCGCTCATCTGGGAATATATGTACTGCATTGCAGAGAGAGAAAACAGAAGGCGAAATTGATCCAAAATAAAGAATTTAAGTATTTATTTTAAATATAATATATAAGTTTCTAGGGTGAAGTAATATATATTAATTATTGCAAGCTAGAAGTTTGTAAATGTATTTTAATATTATTTTGTATCCATTTATTTATATTCTCTTTTATTTTCCACAATTCCTTCTTCACTTTTCCCTTGATTTCTTTCATTTTTCTCAGTGACCATCTCCACCCTCTGCTGGTCATGTCAGTGGCCATTCGGTGTGGCAGTTAACATCCGTTTCCGTCAGCACAAACAAAGCTTTTATCAGACATAAAACTGCGGCGAAGGCCAAGGCGGGCGAAATACCCGAGGACTGAACTGAACCGGAGGGCGGCCACGTTAAGGAAATACTGTACCATAACGTGCGGCCGAGAGTAGTAGTCACTTCAGGAGTGCTCCTTTTTGGAGGGCTGTCCGAGACACTTTATCATCATTTGTCAATTAGTTGCACTATACCTTCGTCTAAAAGGGAGCAGGAAGTCCCGGCCTGCGCCCTTGGGCCAGGTCCATTAGCATCGTGGGGCCAAGTTATTTTGCTGCATAATTCATAATAATTATGCCGGCAGATTTGCCAGGCCCCGCCAAAAAAGTTTTCCTCCTAAGAAATGTCCAAATTAAGCTGCTTCTATACAATGCTTCCCTCTGCCGCTTAAGTTTCTTGGCCTGGCTTCGGGCGCTTTTTGCAAATTTTCAGAGCAGCTGTGCGAATTTTAGATTTCGTTATGCTGTCAAAGGATGTCCGTTTCGCAGCAGCAGCACCTGCTTCTAAGAATTTTTCCTTTTCCCCCCCCAATTTGGTTCGCATTGCCCCAGTTTTGAGCTGCCATAATGCCAAAATACCAGATGTGCCTTCACTGCAAATTGGTCTTTAATGAATATTCGATTGCAACATTTTAATTGCCGCGAGCGCGGAGTCAAGTCGACACACTTACTATACATACGTGCAGCACGCGGGGCACGCGATCCGTTTCCAAGCTGCCAGTTCTCAGTTGCCAGTTGCCATTCGCAAGAGTTGCTCTAATTAATGCACAAATCCGCCCCGGCGACAACGCTGCGTATGAGCAACGCGGTAATGTAATCGGAGAGGCGCCATGCGTCGTCAATGCCAGTGTGTGTGGGCTTGTTTGTGCTGTGTGGGTGTAGGGATGAGTGCACTTAAAAGAAAACTCATTTAATTGAGTGCTGAAAAGACATTTTTTATTAATAAAATGAGTTATGGCGGCTTAACGTTGTCAGAGGCTTCATAAAATTGTTTAAAAATATTTTTACAAATATAAGACAACAGAAAAGTCCTTAAATAATTTTTATAATATTTTTTCTTCTAAGTTTAGAGCTTAAACTAAATGTTTCCTTAAAGAATAGCTTTATTGTTACAAATACTGAAACAAAAGTGCAGTGCTGCTGCCCTTTTTGCCGAAACATGAAAGAAAGTGAAACAAACATTTTGTTACCAGAAGCTTTACGATTCCATTAAAGGCTAAAAAGGAAATGTCAGCCAGAAAAAGGGCACCAATACCAGAGAGCTCCTAGAGCTCTCAGCTGCGTAGGTTTGTTGCTTGTTGCCCAAATTTAGGGGACACCCCCTTGAACTGCCATTTCACAAATTTTATTCGAATTTCCAGTGCAATTTTCTGTGCTGCGTGAGTGCCTTAACCAACGGAATAAAGAGTACCTGCAGTTGGGTGCCCCCTAAACCCTGATTTTCCTAGTTTCCTTTGGCTTGTCAACGAAAAACTGCGCTTTCTGATATGTCTGCTCTCCTCAACTACACATATAATAATAATAAACCTAAAACAAAACTTTCCTTTTTATGAGCTTCCCGGTTCTTTCCTGACACAACGACCGCCAAGTGCTCGTGTGTGTGCAATAAAATATTTATTCATGCATGCATGCCAACAAGCACGGAAGAATTTGCTTATTTTTCTGAATTTTTCTTTGCAATACTCAAAAACCCAAATAAAAATAAATCCCAAAAGCAATTGCCTTGTGATGGCACTTTCGCTGTTTTCCACAAGCCGTGTGGCTCCCATAGGGAAATGATGGAGAGCCATTTCAGACGGTAAATATATTTAAACATTTAAATAGTAATATTTACTAAGAATTTGCAAGAATGGGAAGTCAACAGAATTATAAATTAAAGTTGTATTTGTAGTTCGGAAAATCAACAATTTATTTTATAGTTTATTAAGCAAATTTACCAGTTTCTTTACAATTTATTCATAGGCAAGTCTTTGTTTCTTTCTATACTCCTTGTTTAGAGTTTAAATAATAATTGTATCTGCCTTTTATTTACATTTCCTAAGCCCTTTCAATACAAATTAAACTTTGAAAGGTCAATTTATGCAGAGACTTTTCAGTCTAAGCCCAAATGCAATCGCCTTACTTTGTTTCCCTTTGTAAAATAATCCCTTTTAGCCAAAAAAAAAAATATAACAAAACCGAAAACAATTTATTTTAAATTAAAAACTAAATAATCCCATAAAATCCCACAGAAAAAACAGAAAGTGTGAGAAGTGAAGTGTTCAATGTGTCCGTTGATTGATTTACAAATAACCCATCATCTATTTTCATTGCCTTTTTTAATGGCCCCAAGGGATAAGCATTTGTCATCAGCGTGGTGGCCATAAAGGATTAAATGAATAGTAAAATGAAACCTAAATGAAAACAAAACACCATTTGGTCGAGCAATTAAAAATATACAAGGAAACGGGTATATATCAAGCTCTCTTTCGCCTTCTGCCAGAAGGCATATTTCCGAATGAATTTCAATTAAACGAAATCCACTGAAAAATAGCCAAAACAAATAAGTGTTGGGTGAGAGGCCAAGTTAAAATTCAATTAAACGAGACGAAACTTTCGGCTTTCGAGCATAAATTCCACAAATTCTAAGTGCCATCAGAAAAGAGCAATACTTGCACAAGGAGAAAGGAGCACCGGCAGCTGTTAGTCCTGTCAACTGACTGATTGTCCCTCGTCTCAGGGGAATCCTTGTGTCTGAGTACGTTCGATGATGATGAGCCAATGGCCATGAACTTTACGAACATTTTGCGGTTAAACTTTGGCACTCTTGGTCTTTCTCTCTGTTTATTGGCAAATATTTTAGCTTGCTCCAAAAATATTTGTGTTTGGTCGGTGGTAAGAGGAGGAGTAGGACGAGGTCCTTCTAGCTCTGGAAAATTGTGAACTGCAAGCAGCCGTCGGCAAGAACAAGCGCAATGTGCAGCATATTAAACACTTTTGTCGATATACCGGGGCAGTCGTTGAACCGTAGAGGGCGTTAAGCTACCCATATTTGCATGTCACAGGCTCCGGCTCCGCCTCTGTGTCCTGGAATGCGAGTGCACTATGCAAATGACAGCATAAACACAAAATATTGTGTATCAACTTGGAAAGCCAAAAGGTGTCGCTGACTCCTTGAAATGTTCAAAGGACTCTAACAGTGACTAGGAGGCAAACTCAACTCGACTTTTAACTGCATTCCAAGTCGAAAGTATATTGTGAATCAACTGGGCAAAAGGACTATGCCTGTCAAAAAATGCAAGGACTTTTAGGAGAATATATTTGTTTGTTTTAAAATATATTTATGGTGTAAAATGAGACATATTTTCAACAATTATTTGTACATTTCAACTATAACGTCGAATTCATGAATATATCAATTAAAAAATATTTCCCTTCATTTATAAAAATTTACTAAAATATTTAATAAAGTTTCCAACTTCCCGAAGTCTTTAAACTTTAAACTCTTCAACTTTTTTACAGCAACATTCTTCAATTAACGAGAAACTGACTCGAAGGCAAAACCACAAATGTATTTTTGGAAAAATTAAAATTAATTGTGGCCCAGATACAGACCCTGAAAAGAGCCCGCTGACTGACTGCATCACAGGATGAAAGTAAGGCGCACGAAGCAGAGTCCTGCTTCTGCACTGAAGTTCCTTGCCCTTGGCGAATTGTAAATTTTAATGACCCCGCCGAAGGGTTGAGGATTGCTCTGGGACCCCGAAAAAGCAGCGCCATGGATAAAAATTCAACAATGACAAACAAGGCGAAAATAAAATGGGGTATAAAAATAAAATATTCCATATAATAATGCATAAAATAAAGGAAATGTCGAAAAGAATTGAGTTCACACGAATCGTGAAGTGCTTTTTGCGAGTGCCAGTGCGAGCCCTGTTCTTGTCCTGTTTTTCACCATCAAAAACGGACGACTGTGGGCTGCCGGCTGCAGCACACTTTTATCAACTTTAAATCCGCAAAATGAGATTTCTTGCGGATTTGCATAGATTAAACTGCAATGGCTCTCGCACCCGAAAAAAAAGAAGAAGGAAGTAAATACTGTGCTATATATAGCTTAATATTTTGTTGCCAGTCACCGCTTTTTCGTGGTCCTGGGTGGGTTGTTGTTCACGGCTTGTTTAGCATTTGTTAAGCCAGAATCACTGGCTCGTGGTCCATTTCTTTTTGGCCATTCCGTAGTACGGGTACTTTTGACCATCGTTTTTGCCGTCTCTTTTGGTTTTTTGTCATCGATTTTGCGTTTCCACTAAGTCCACACTGAGAAATATGTAATTAATATAAATAAATTATGAAAAGAGTTTGTTATGATAAATCATGATGTTATGACATCTTTTAAAGGTTCATAAAAGATCAGAAAGATGATTTTCTGACGGTAACAACAGAACGGTAGCATTTGTTTTTCTAAATTGAATTAATTGTATTCAAAATCTGTTCAAAATATAAAGTTTTAAAAGTCCGCTTCATTAAATTCTTAATATTTTGTATTTACAAATAAAATATACAAATTTTTGCATATAAATTAAACTCTTTATTTCTAGCAAAAAATGGAATGGATTTTGCTGAAATTATTGCCACATTTCAGCTCATTTTAAAAAGAGAAAACCCCAAACCACTTAAAAATGTTGTGGCAGCCCAATTGTTGGGACACTGTTTCATTTCCGCAGTGACTTCATTCCAGTTTCTGTTTTGGTTGGTTTTTTTTCGGTGTGGCTTTTTCGGGGGCCAAACCAGGCAAAGTTTATGTCGCTCGAAAACTCATTTAAAGTTTCAAAAGTGTTGATAGATGGCAGGGCCAGCCACGCCCAGTCTTGAAAAGTGGCTGCCGCCCTTTGTTCTGCTCTATTCTAGCCTCCTTTTGATTTTTTCCAAGGATGAGAGGTTGTTTTCATTAGCCAGGAGAGGTTCTTGCCAAAACTGGCAACTGGCGACACGTGACGCACTCCAGCTTAGGGCTTAACTTGCCTCAAAAAAAATACAACAAAATACAAATAACGTCGAGACAAAAAAGCAAACTTGTTGATAGTTGTTCAACAAAAGCTTGGGGGCTTTAAAAAGCGGACAAGGGGGGAACAGGGTGAATGTGTGCTTAACTTTAAAACGCAACACGTGTCGTGCCGGCGGCAGAGGCTCTAATCCCTGCCTAGAGGACAGCACACTAAATGGCATTTTGATTGATGTGTGCCACAGAAAGTGTCCCCGATCTGGGTCAGGTATGAGCAGGTGTACGCTCCCGAATGCTATGCCTATGTCAAGTTAATTTTTGTGCCAAGCATTTGCCTAATTTTTGGCCCCTCAAATATTCACCACAGTTTGCCGTATAAAAGGCTTTTTATGTTTTCCGAAAAAAGAACCTCAAAGCCAACTACGTCGAATTGGCGTGGCCAGGCAATCAGAAAATGCCAAGTGCACTCCTCACTCGACTCTATATACTTTTTTCGGCCACTCTAGCCACAAAGGAGCCGAAAGTACTGAATGCTACGGTGATACGCTTTCAGCCAACCGAGCGAAAATCCACGGAAAGCTCTCTGCTTTTTGCTGAATTTCCACAAAGCGCAGAAGCGAAAAATGAGAGAGGAAAATTTCTAGGGAAAGGGAAATCTCATGAATTAAGGTTGTGGTGGTGCTTCAACACCACCTGTTGTTGTAGTTGTAGTTGGTGCCTCCATAATCCAGTCGAGGCAAGATCAAGCCATAAACTGTTGACCCAGCCAGCCAAGTTGCAAAGAGCTAAAAATATATTTATAAAGAATTAAATAATGAATATATCTATTCAAAGTAACCGTCTACTTTTCTGTCATATTCCAATCCCAGGCCCAGTCTCTACGCTGAAATCGAGTAAGACATTCCCATTATTTTTTTCTTTTGAAGATCACGATGCAGGCAGTCGGAGCAGACCCCGTGTCGGGTCCCAACTGCATCCCCTTGAGACAGTACCCACCCTATGGCTCCAGCATCGAGTCCGCTGATGGCGAGGGACAAGGACCAAAGGGCCTGGACTTCAACAACGACAGCATTCGCAGGGGATTCGTGCGGAAGGTGTACCTGATCCTGCTGGGCCAGTTGATGTGCACCCTAGGCCTATTGGCTTTGCTAACCTGCGACAGTGATGTCAAATTGTATGTAGCGGAAAGTAGAGTGATGTTCTTGTTAGCCTGGGTGGGAATGCTCGTCATCCTGGGCGTCCTCACCTGCAACGAGGGCGCACGTCGCAAGGCGCCCACGAATTTCATCTTTCTGGGAGCGTTCACCCTGGGCCAGTCCTTCCTGGTCAGCGTGATGGCCTGTCGGTATGCCCCGAAGGAAATCTTCATGGCCGTGGTGATCACAGCAGTGATCTGCCTGGGACTCACCGTCTTTGCCATGCAGACGACCTTTGATTTCACCATGATGGGCGGCATGCTGGTATCCTTCCTGTTGGTCCTGGTGCTCTTTGGGTTCGTGTCAGTGTTCACGAATAGTTCCATGATCAGCAAGTTGTTCGTCTGCCTGGGCGCCCTGGTCTTTTCCTTTTATTTGGTCTTCGACACTCAAATGATGGTGGGCGGCAAGCATCGCTATTCTATCAGTCCCGAGGAGTACATCTTCGCCGCCCTCAATCTGTACATGGATGTGGTCAACATATTCCTCAACTTTGTGCAGATGATCGGGGGATCTGACGGTTAAGACGGAGGCCTTGTTTCCATTATTCATTCGTTATTCGATTATTTAACCCACCGACTTAAGGTCGAAAATTAATAAATCAAATTGTGCAGCATCAATTGAGCCGATTATTTATGTTTCAGTTCATAAATTACGAACATTACAGGCACAACAGGTGCGGCGAGGCCCAAGCCCCCGCCCCGCCTCGGGCAACTCAAATTGTCAATTAAGTTATTAGTTCGGGGCAATAAAACTGTCAGGACCGTAACAATATTAACATAAAGCTTACACAAATTAGATGCTGCTGCTGCTGCCGCCTGGCAAACTTTCGCAATAAATGTATCTGCAAATGTTCGTGAGTGGAAATGGGAAATGCGTTGTGGGAAATCGGAAATGGGAGTGTGACAGCCTCAGAGGTCCAGGACCAAAAGTCACTGGCTATATATGTGCAGGAACAGAGAGGGAAATTAGAATTGAGAAGAGGTTTACTCATGGTTTTTATTATATATTTATAATTTTAAAATATTTATTTGAAATATTTAAATTTGACAGTACCACTTCAACCTCCGGAGTGACAAGTCGTATTACAACAGCATCGATCCCGCGTTTGCAAAAAACCCATAGAGCTTATCAGCAAATTTGTGAAAAACAAATATTAAGACCAAAACAAAATAAAAAAAGACAACAACAAAAAACACACCATTTCATACCAATCGGGCGCAAGCCCTTTACAAGCAACCATGCACGAGCCACCAGACATACCAAAGTTCACTACGAGATCGTATCAACTAGGAGAACCCAAATTTATTATTATTAAAAGCAAAAATGAAACCTCACTTAAAACACTTTCACCTTTCATCATCGAAAAATCCGTGGATTTTGCCTGCGGAGGAAGAGTTGATTCCGTGAAAAAACTTAGGGACGGCGGACTTTTGATAAAAACAAAAAACAGCTTACAAGCCACAAAACTTCTAAAACTTACCAAAATCGGAGACATTGATATAACAGCAACCGAACACAAGACACTAAATTTTTCAAAAGGCGTTATCTACTGTAATGACCTTAGATATATAGACGAAGAAACAATTCTCCGAGAATTAAAACCGCAGAAGGTAATTGAAGTCCGAAAAATTATGAAGAGACAAAACACCAACAACAACAACAACCATAACAACACCAACAACAACAGCAACACCAACAATCACAACAGCACCAACAACAACAACAACCCTCTAACAGAAACCGGACTCATAATAATTACATTTGAAACTCATCAACTCCCTGAATTACTGCGAATCGGCTACGAAACTGTCCGCGTACGCAACTACATCCCTCTCCCAATGCGTTGCAGAAAGTGCCTCCGTTACGGACACCCGGCACCTATATGCAAGAGCACAGAGAAATGCTTAAATTGCTCAGAGGAAAAACACACCAACGAAGGAGAACTCTGCAAAAACGACAAAAAATGTCTTAACTGTGTCAACAATCCCGAACTTGACTCTCAGCACAGCCCTTTGGACCGCAAATGCCCCACATTCCTAAAACAACAAGAGCTTACTGCCATTAAGACCACCGAAAAAGTCGACCATAAAACTGCTCTGGGTATATACTTTGAGCGACACGGATACAAAACAAGAAACTCTTATGCAAATGTACTCACAAACACCACAACCACAATAAACACCCGATCTCCAAATACTCAGACATCAACAGCTTCAAATGCACAAACTACACCCACATCCTGCGATCACAACGAACCAAACAGAGCCACAACATCAACCGCACCAATCAAGAGAACACTGGCACCGAAAGAAACCCTGCTAACCCACAACCAACACGACCAAGACGACATCGAAGCCATGGAAACGGACAACCCCAACCCCACCAGAATAACGACACAATACGGATCACAACTCACACAGGACCTTAAACTAAAAATTTTCCCTAAAGATAAGTCAAACACTCTCTCCACTAACTTTAAACCAGAAAAAAAAAAAGGCTAAATCTTCCAACAAAAACAAACGCACCAATACCAGCGACAGCGAATCGGTTTAAAAGCCACAGATCTCCTATACTCTAAGGTTCAACCTCAGATCTCTTTCCACCCCAAAAATGTCACTAATTTTAATTCAATGGAACATTCAAGGATACACAAATAATTATAATAACCTCCTAATCCTGATTAAAAAATACTCCCCACATATCATTGCATTACAAGAAACACATATACAATACACTAACAATATACCAACTCCAATTAACTACATACTACTAACAAACACAGCCACCAACAGATTTGGCGGCGTATCGCTATTAGTACACAAGTCAATTCAATTTTCCATAGTTAACATTCCAAACGACCTTGAAGCTCTAGCAATACATATAAAATCAATGAAAAACATGCACATAAAGACAGCATACATTGCCCCAAACAAAACCGTCACAAACCAAATGCTTGAAGACATTTTGCACAACAATCAAACACCCTCACTAGTTGTAGGAGACTTTAATGGGTGGCACCCCGCCTGGGGTTCCCCGAAAACAAATTCTCGAGGAAAAACAATACAAAAATTCATTGACAACACACAGCTAATCTTACTAAATGACAAATCCCCCACACACTTTTCAACGCACAATACATACACACATATCGACCTTTCACTTTGCTCAGCAACACTAGCCCCACACGCCAAGTGGGAAATACTCGATGATCTCCACGGGAGCGACCATTTTCCAATAGTCGTCTCCCTATTCCCTCCAAACAAATTAAACAAATTTTCAAAACCCTTTTTCAAATTAAAAAAAGCCAACTGGCTTCAATATGAGACTCTCACACACAAAAATAACGACACATTCCCCACTTCAACTAATGTCAATAAAGAAGCCGCACAAATTAACAAAATCATTTTACATAGCGCCAACATTTCAATCCCACAAACCTCAGCAAATACAAAACCCTATAAGGTCCCCTGGTGGAACAAAGAACTAGCCCAACTAAAAAAAGAAAAACAATTAGCTTGGAAAGCACTTAACCGCAACATAAATTTCACAAATGTTATAAACTACAGGCGCTTAAATGCTAAATACAGATTCGAAATAAAAAGAAGTAAAAGCGAAGCTTCCAGCTCCTTTACATCCACCATACATCCAGAAACCCCCTCATCTAAAATATGGAGCAACATAAGACGCTTCTGCGGTCTTAACCCAATGAAACAAATTCACGCCATACTCAATCCAAAAAACAACACAGCAACAACAGATACCCTCGAAATAGCCAATTCCTTCTCCCAACACTTCTCAGAACTGTCAAACGATTCAACCTTCTCAGACGAATTCCGAAATAACAAATATAAAATTACAACAGCCAATTACAGACCCACCTCAACAGCCCAAACTATCGAGGAAAATATAACCTACCTTGAACTGATTGCAGCACTACAAACTCTTAAAGGATCCACCCCAGGATTAAATAGAATCTCTTACGAAATGATTAGTAAAAGCTCACATACCACAAAAAACAGAATAAAAAACCTTTTCAACCAAATTTTCGACAGCCACATACCTCAAGCCTACAAAATAAGTTTAGTTATACCGATCCTCAAGCCAAAGTCCGACAAAACAAACATCTCTTCATACAGACCCATTTCCCTCAACTGCTGTCTAGCAAAAACACTAGACAAAATAATAGCAAAAAGACTATGGTGGTTCGTGACCCACAATAAACTACTTAATGAAAACCAATTCGGCTTTAAAAAAGGCAAATCGACTTCGGATAGTCTACTATACGTAGACCATCTTATAACGAAGTCAAAAATGCACACCTCCCTCGTCACTCTTGACTTTTCAAGAGCTTTTGATCGAGTAGGTGTGCACACCATAATCGATCAACTCCAGGAATGGAAAACAGGCCCAAAAATAATAAACTACGTCAAAAACTTCATGCTCAAAAGGAAAATAATTGTCAGAGTAGGCCCGCACATCTCCAATTCACTTCCATTATCCAATGGTATCCCACAAGGATCACCTATATCAGTTATCCTATTTCTCATTGCATACAACAAGCTCTCAAACATAATAGCTATACACAAAGAAATTAAATTTAACGCATACGCTGATGATTTCTTCCTCATCATAAATTTCAACAAAAACAAAAGCCTTAATTTCAATATGGACAACGTATTACATAATATAAACAGTTGGTGCTCATACTCAGGAGCATCCCTATCCTTAGCTAAATGCAAACACCTCCATATTTGTCGAAAACACAATTGTACTAGCACCATAAGCTGTAGCAATACACAAATACAACAAGTATCTGCACTCAAAATCTTAGGGATAACCATAAACACTAAATACAAATGGGACACACACATAAAATCACTACTTCCATCTCTACACCAAAAGCTAAATATAATTAAATGCCTCTCCAACCAAAAATTCAACTGCAATACACAAACACTACTTCACGTTGCGAAAGCAACAATAATAGCAAAAATTGAGTACGGCTTGTTCCTATACGGACACGCTCCCAAAAGTGTATTAAACAAAATAAAAACACCGTTTAACACTGCAATTCGGCTAGCCCTTGGCGCCTTCCGAACCACGCCCATTAATAACTTGCTATACGAAGCCAACATCCTGCCATTAGAGCAAAAACGAGACCTCCAAACAGCAAAACTCACGAAAAACCTAATATTTTCAAAAGATACCCCAATACACAAACTCGTCAAACAAAGAAAATCAAAAAAAAACCCATCAACCATAGACCGCACAATAAATCTTTGCCAAGCACTTAATCTACCCTACGAACCAGTAAAACTACACAAATGCAAGCCACCTTGGGATCTCCCAAATCTCATAGATACAACATTCAGAACACACAAGAAACAAACTACACCACCAGATACTTACAGAAAACTATACCAACATACCAAAGACAGCTATAAAACACACAAATTCATATTTACAGACGGATCAAAAATAAACTCCACTATATCATATGCAGTCACAACAGATACCAATATTATTAAATATGGTATCCTACCCCCATACTCATCAGTTCTTTCCGCTGAAATAATAGCCATCCTAGTAGCGATCGACCAAGTCAAAAGCACAAGGG